TAAAAGTAATAGAGGTTGCCAAGAAAAACGACTGTGCGACGGATTCCGAGAACACCGCTGCGACGAAACCCTTTACGGTGGCCAATTTACATTATAAATTCAGTTGTTAAAACACAATGACCTTGTTACACTCCCCGCAGACGTAACACCACAGTTTCTTTATAAACTTACCCCTCATTTATACAAATTAAATAACATGGCCTATAAGTAGTTCTCTAAGTCGGGTGAGGTTCTCTAACATCCTCTGAGTGCCAAAAATTGAAAAAATAATTCAATAGAACGGCGATATCCCAACCAAAGACTGACGAAAGGCGATGCACACTCCAAGCTTTTGGCAGATAGATTCTAGAATCTAAATCGACTGAATTTTCAGCCCATCCAGTTGATGTCCATAGAAATTCTCAAACAGTCTCCAAGATCACTCGATTTTCTTTAAATCTCTTTAGGTTTTACTCAGTTACGGTTAACTCTATTAGCATATTTTAGAGAGCCGTTTTGCACACTTATGATCCACTACTGTCTTTTTTTATAGATAGCTGTCGGCGAGTCAAGTTCATGAAAAAAAAGGATGGATATGCATTGGTGAACCATATTTTAAAAAATATTTCATTACCTGTCGGAATGCACACGTATAGTAACTGCAAGAATAGGTGTATGATGGAAGACAGATGTAAATCAATCAACATGGGACCAGAAGATAAAGATAAAGTTTTGTGTCAGATAAGTGACTCAGACCACGTTCAACACCCAAGTGATTTGAAACCGACAGAAGGCTTTACGTATAGGGGCATGGAGGTAAGAACTAGAAATTCGGTTTTGAGTTTGCAGATTTTATTTCCTTTTTTGTAAATCCTCGCAGAAAGACTCACAGAATCGCAACGTCTTTTCTGAATGGAACTTGAGAATAAAAATCGTTGAAATAAAATAAAAAAAAGAGGAAAATATGAATGGCTGCCCCGAATGAATCGACGACATAGATTACTTTCGATTCCCGCGCACCTGCGATAAGTTCTTTGCCATCTTGTAATGAATGACCTAATGGGTCTTAACAATTAGCACCTTTTTTTGAGTTGATCAAAGCGGAAAATCAAAGAACCTAGAAATATTAAAACATCAATGGCTCTATGTCTCTTTCAGTTTCGCAGTGTAATGACGAAGAAGGGATGAGTTGTGTTATGTGGCAGTCTGGGTCCTATCCAATCAGTTAGCGTTATGTGGGCCCATTATATAACGTAATTTCAAAATTACACATAATTCTGACATTTTAGCGGCCCTAAAACGTCTGCCGTTTTAGGGCTTCACGTAATCGCATAATTAGCGGAAATGAAGTCACCGAAAGATCGAATGATTTTCTCAGGGGTTTGCTTACATCTTTATTTTGCGCTCTTTTTATTGATTCTTCTATAACACTTGGATGACTTGAACGTTGGTTCATTTCGGCATAATGTTGCATCGTATGCTTTCTTTAATTTTTTTCGTGTCGCAGTTTCTAGGGCCTTTTTGACACCGTATTTGGCCGCTCCTGACACGCTTCCGGCTACTTTTTGCTTTTTTTCGCCGGATATGAGAGCTGGAATAAGAGCTCCTAAAAGGAAAAGTACTTTTTTTGCGTCGATTGGTTTGTTTTGTTGTCGTGATTTTTCTTGATGTAGAAAAGGGAATCAAATGGTATGAAATAAAGTTAGATAGGGGATCCTTATTACAAATGGGACGCGTACTCTTCCTAGTGGAGATCACTCGTGATGTTACTGTTTTACAATGGACAAACTAAAGTTTCCTCTCGTGCAGAATTAAATATGCTACAAGTTCTCGATGTACAATAATACAATACGATCTAATAGTTCAGAACGAAATATTCCAAATTATTCGAGTTCTATCCACAGACATGCATTTAAAAATTTTGGATAAGTAGCAAAAAATACGTCAATTGCAGAAATTGTCATTCTAAATTGATTTTCGCGTCTTCATCGAGACAGTTATGGTTCCAAATTAGGATTCAAGAGCGGATTGAAAAAAAGGTTGAAAAGTGAATTGAAAAACAAACGGCCAAACGTTTTAAAGCGTTTTTCGGTGCAGGAAAAACCGTATCGGACCCGTGTATTCTAGAAATGTATCTTTAGTGCGTTCGAGAAGAGGCGGAAGTTGGTAGGCAAAAGAGTGGAGCTTTCCCTTTGATAAAGATGGCCGGAAGCGCTTTGACGGAAGCAGTCGAGAAGAAGAAACGTCGACGCAAATCTCAAAAGGGAGGAAGACTCTTCTCGTCGTCACCTGTCGTGCCTGGCTTTTAACCCGACTTGATAAACTGGTTGACTCAGAAAAGTATGAAAAGAATTAGTAAAACTAAAAGAAACAGAGAATTAAAAATGAGAGAAGTGAATACCGCTTAGGGTTCTGAATCTGTAATGAATAGGACGTTGGAATTGTTCAGAATTCTACTTACAGACATCAGTGCATCCTCTTAACGGATGGCTCCTCTTCAACCGTCTTACAACGGTCACTACGCCCATCGACTTTCAAGTGACTGCTCAGGGTGTTTTTCTGGAGTTAAATCGAATTTATTTTGAAATGGAATTGGAACTGACCGATGAAAACGGAGGAAACTTGACAAAGACAGCCGGCGATGCCGTTTCCATGATGTCACCCGTCAACAATTTTAAAACATTCTTGTGTTCTCATCTTCATCGGTCTCGCAACAAAAGAGAATCTTCCTCGTCCAGTTCTATTCCACCTTGCCCGTCTTCTTTCTTTTTCTACCGGTTGAAAGCAACACTTGTGACATCTTATGTTGACATATTCTTTACAGACTTGACATTTGGCCACTCCTCATCGATATTTGGCGAGTAGGGATCTTCGGTCTCCCCTATTTGATTTTACGACTTTCCTAAGAGATTCGGGACATTTTTTGAACGTTTTGCAAATAGATTTCAGGTAAGGATTGGGACCAGTCCGATGGTACTGACAACAATCTTCTCCGTAAAACGAACGCAGAAATATACAGCACATTTACAAAGAAGTGTCATTTCGACGATGCTCAGAACAATTCCGGCGATGAAACGATACTCATTTCTTTCCTTTGCAAGTATGATGTTCATAATCATCTCTATTAAATCCATAATCGCATTCGTGACAATGAGAATATTTGCTCAAGATCCTCCTAGCGATGCGCAACCATGATCGTGATGTCCATCTACTTGCACTGGTTCAATCTTTTCAAGGACCCTTGAAAATAATCATTTGAGGTTTATCCAACGACACCACCTGAATCTGGTACTTGTGACGTAATGCTTTTTAAAACTTTTCCAATTCCCTTACACCACAGGAACATTCTTCCACACCTGCCAATCGATGTAATCACGTTTCGTTATATGATTAGTCCATTTGCGCCATCTGATTTGTTAGGACCCAGAGTGCCACACAAATCTACTGGGATGTTGTAAGATCTTTTTATAACGCCAGAAATATTTTCCATGTCGTATCTGAGACATTAGAGTACAAGTTTTTGTACTCTTTTTTGTGTTCTCATAATATCTCAAGAGAGTTATTATCATTCCGAGCGTGTATAGCATCTCAGTCAATTCATGAAAAAATAAAGCAAAATCATATTAAAGTTCACATGGCAACCGGGTGGACAATCAGACATAGTTTGATGCTACTCTAGTTTAAAGATTTAATGAAGGTAACCGAGAAGTTACAGTTCATAAACCCAATGTTTCGACATTCCTGTTTACTGCCTTCATCATCACCCCTCATCACCCCTGATTAAGATCCTAGAAAGGAGTGTCCAAACGTTGCGTCTGTGTAACTTCCCTGTTGCATTTATTAAATCTTTAAACCAATGTAGTATCAAACCATGTCTGAAGGCAAAATATGTTTTCACTAGAACAAGTGTTGCCTCAGTATGTGCCATAACAACGCAACTTGCCTGGTTGGATTTACGGACAAGGGATACAAATGTGTGTATCAGGCTGGTTACAAGGGAGAACATTGTGAAAAAGGTGAGGGCTACTATGTGTTGCATCAAGCATATTTACTTTCATATGTATGCGTCTGTTTTATAGCCGTTTAAATTTTTTTATACCGTAAGCCTCCATATGTCCTACGAGCACTTACAATTCGTGTATAACACTTTGTACCCATTCGTGTCATCTCGTGTAGTGTATCGCGCTTTAATTATTTGTTTTAGATATTGACGAGTGCTCCAACAACACCCCTAACTGCCATGCCAAGGCTGTGTTTATGATATCGAGAAATCTTGCAGTTGTAGATGTAAAGAAGGTTTTAAGGGGGCCAGATGAAATTTCATAGTTGAGTTCAGAGTGATCATTGCAATTTCTTATTAGTAGTGTAGAATACCAAGATTAGTAAATTTTTTATTCTACCATAATTCAATTCTGGCAATAAAGGCAAGAAAACGCTAAAAATAGGAGATCACAACAGAACGAGTCACAACTTATAAAGACAAGAATAGAAGCAAAAAGACCAAAAACGAGAATAGTAATAATAATGATGATAATAATCGAAGTATTTATTCAGGATAACCCTTCAATACAAAAGTACTATTATCAAAAGGGTCCTGCTGATTAAGAATTAAAAACTAAGAAATAAGAAGTTATCAAAATATATATAAATTAGTATCTATTAAAACAAAAATACACTAAGCTAAAAACTGCTAAAACTACAATAGAAGTTACGAGTAATAATCGTCTAGGGCCTTCCTGTATAAAACTCCAGAATTAATGTTCCTTAAACTTAAAAGCAATGAATTCAAACTTCAGGCACCAAAAAACAGAAAAAACTACGGCGCGCAAAATCCAGTTTGACCCTTGGTAGCTTTGCTGTTTTCTCATTGGTCTCAGTTTTTTTTAGAACTGATGAAATGATGATTTGACATATCAAGCTTACAAACCAGTAAAATAAACAATAAATAATAATAAAGTTTGACTATGCTTACAAATAAACAAAAGAACTTGTGATAAGAAAAGAGGTTGAGGTGAACCCTTTTTTTCCCTTCAGCATTCAAAGCTGTTTTTACAAATCTCAATGCCACCGGAAGACGTGGTCCAACATCGCTGGGCAGTCACTACACAGGTCAGGATCATGACGGACAAGTTACACTGATCAGCGGTATTCAACAGTGGACTGTACCGTACACTGGTGACTACAGAATAGAGGCAATAGGAGCGGCAGGAGGGTATGATAAACACTCTAGCAGTGCTCAGTACCGAGGAAGAGGAGCAAGAATGATTGGAACATTTCGCTTAAACAAGGGCGAAGTCATCCAGATAATTGTAGGTCAAGAAGGAGGAATAAACAAGCAGTATTCTTCTTCCGGCGGTGGTGGAGGTACATTTGTAGTGAGAGGAACTGACACACCTTTGATAATAGGTGGAGGCGGGGGAGGCGCACTAGCTGTTAAGTCAAGACATGAGGGATGCGACGCCAGTACAAACACAACAGGGAATCCTGGATACAATTCATGGTCAGGGGGGAGCAATGGACATGGTGCAGAGACTGCTGATAGTGGCAACTCAGGTAAGATAATACTGTGTTGATGCCTAACCCCTTAGCTCCTCATTAATTAATTATACTTCAAATTTAGATAATCGGCCCTAGTCCCCCCCCCAAAAAAAAACAAAACAAAACAAAAAAACAAACACTGAGACTACCTAGGATGAGGACCAGTTTATATATTTAGAGATAACATGTATAGACACATGTAAGCGCAGTAACGGATGGTGCCTCAATAGAAATATATCCTACACAGGTTTGACCACGCTGATATGGGTACATTTGGGATTAAAACAAAAAACAAAAAACAAAACAAAACAAAAAAAAGAAAGAAAAGACTAAGACCTTACTCATCATTTGTTTTTGTTTTGTTTTGTTTGTTTTTTCCTCAGGTGGTGGTGGTGGCGGGTTTTACTCCAGTGGAAGAAGTGGAAAGAATTTCAATGGAACCAAGGGAAACGGCGGAGAAGGTGGTAAGGGATTTCTTCAGGGAGGCGAGGGTGGGAGATCACTGCATCACAATGTTGTTGGTGGGTTTGGTGGAGGAGGTGGAGCTCTGGGAATGGGGGCAGGGGGAGGAGGAGGAGGAGGAGGAGGGTACTCTGGGGGAAGCAGTGGAGATGGTCATCGTGATTCCTGTGGGGGTGGGGGTGGCTCTTACAACGATGGAAACAACCGGGACAATGCGTGTTGTTATGGTACGGCTGGTCATGGTCAGGTGACTATCACATTACTCTGAAATGAAAAAATACGTGTAATCAAATATAGTGATGACGGAATTAAAACTTAACTCTGTATGATTGGCATTCCAATTGATTGATAGCAGTCACTAAAAGTATAATCTAGCCCGAAATTAAAGGAGGCTCTTATCTACGACTAAAAGGACAAAAAAAGCCCAAACAATTTGAGACAGTAATGTGTTCCCTTAAGTCGAATTTCACTCGTTATACTTTTGATAACGGATTGAAATTAAATTCGATTTAATATCGTCAACTTTAAAATTGAAGGAATGAAATTCGGTTTTCTTGTTTAAGTAGCCTATGTTACCAACCGTTAGAACAAATGTTGTTTAACCCTTTACCTCCCATGAGTGACCAAGAGAGAATTTCTCCTTACATTATCAATACAATATCAAGCATAAAACTGATGAGAATAAAGAAAAATATCAATTCGGGAATTACTAGTTGATCCAATACCAAATTCTCCAAATTGACATCATAACAATTATATGGCAGATAGTAAGGAGAATTACTTAAGAGATCTTGGGAGTTAAAGGGTTAATCCTTGCGATAAGGTCATCCGGAAAGATGACATTACGCGTGGACATATCATCATAGGGGCAACCTTGAACGATGAGAAACAAATTGTGGATGATTATATGAGTAATGCGTATTGCTTGTTCGTTAGCTTCACTACGCTGACCTAATTTACCGATATTAAGAGAAGATCAGTATAGATTTGAATCCAAAAGGTAATAATGCTTCTCATACAGGAGTAGTCAAGAACCCAAATGCCTTTTTGAAAGCTGCTAAAAGGTATAATCTTATGCCTAAGTATTGGTAATCAAATAACCAAGAGGGAGCTTGTTTCACGAACGACTTGTCAAGATTTTAATTCTTTTCGAACCTTTCGGCGAGGGAAATAATTAGAAATTGCAAACTGGTAGGACAACGAAAAAACCCAAAAAATTTGCCACAACAGCTCTCTCGATTTGCTTTTGAAACTGAAAAGAAATCTAAAGTTTCGGATCAAAATTAGGTACGACGTATACGTTCGTATTTGGTTTAATCATAACCATTAAAAATTCCTCAAAAAATACTGGTACATTCGCAGCTTCGTTTTTCATTAATCATTCTGTACAGTTGTAATCGGACGGTGTAATTGGACAGTCGCCTGTAATCGGACACCTGTAATCGGACAGTTGAAGCAGCCAATCATGCTAAGTCCCCTCAGCTAATCCACCAATCACAGAAGTGATCAAAATTATCATAGCAACAACCACTTATCCAAAGAAAAAAATTGAGTTTCCAAAATGGAGGAATTTTTTAACTTAAGACATTGTTTCCACTGGAGATGTTTGTTCTAGGTGTATTTGTTTGTTCGGAAATCAGGAAATGGCTATGATTAATCGGTAACAGGACTTCCTGTCGTCCAATTTTGTTTGTAATCATATCGATGATTACAGACCGAAATGGACTCCACTCAGTCCTATTACCATTATTAATAGTACCTATAGAAAGTAAAATGGTACTTTTGTCGTGTGAATTATACACATTGCACCAGTGTTTGATTTAAGTGATGATATTTACATTTACATATAGTCCTAGATAACTGCGTGACCTACGTTTGGTTTTCCAACATACCTTCTACGAGAATTTGTATCACGCACTTTGGTAGAGTGTTTTGGATAAGAAAAGTACCCTAATCATATATTTCGTAGATACTCTTTTGATAAACAAAGAGATATCGATGCCATCGGATAAAAAGTTGTTTGTTTGACCTAGAAAGAAAAAAACTGCTCTAAGGTATTGGGTTCAATCGAGAGTGTGGAAAAGATGGTTGAATCTTTGTTTCACTCGAACTGAAGAAGCTTGATGTTAACATAACTATGCCTAACGCTAACATTACCTTGAGTAAGACTTAGAGGTATTATAGTAGCTGTAAATTTGACACAAGGTTAGGTTTAACTTAGCATCTCCTCATGAAACTTTTGATTGAGAAAAGTGTTCTTGAAGTTTTATTTCATTCGAAAACATCATTAAGCTGTTACTACATCGTAGGTGAGATTGGAAGCTTAGTGCAAAGCTAACAATTAAAAAAAAAACTCTCTAGTATATTATTTGTGACTTTCTTGACTGTACAAGCGATAATCGAGCAGGGGAACTAGTTCAAATATCCACAACCTTCCTTTTCTGTTTGCGCGTGAATGATAATTCCGGCTAAGTCTAGTATAAAACTCAATTTGAAACTTAAGACCAAGGGCTCATAAATAAACAAAAGAAACATATAACAGAGTTGAGTGAACGATTACCTTCATTTTGAGATTAAGCCCCCCCCTCCCCCCTCTATCTCTCTTCTTAGAGTAAATTATGACTTGCTTACTTTAAGGGGAGAATCCTTATCTTTTACATTAAATTCAATTTTAAAAAAATCATGCGTAATGTTGAAACAGTGGATCTGCAAATGTAAGCAAAAGATGCATTTCAATCAACACAGGGGACTTAACTGATTCCTTTCGAGCACTACACGGATTCTTTTCTGAAGAAGTTGATTCATTACAAATTTTTTTTTTTACCTAATAATGATGTGTTTTAAATAAACACCTCAATGCACAAGTGTAAAGTAATAAAATTTTCCAAGAATTCCAAGGCTGTGAAATATTATGTTTATGTGTTGTCAAATCGAAGTATGCACAGATTTAGTCAATATTTTGACTTGCCGACGCAAATGGATGTCTTAGCGTTTCGTTCTTAACAAAATTCACATCGATCTGTTTTATCAGGATGAAAGTCTCATGTCACAGTTTCCGCTGTCACTGATCGCCGTGATTCGGTATATTCAAGTTATAAGTGTGTTTCAATAAGTGGGGCTCGAAAACTCATCAAATCTCAGCTGGCCACCAAGGGCTTAGAAAGTCAAGTCGAATCTATTCTCATCTCCTGAGTGGAGGGAATAATGGCCTAACAATGAGACGGCGTGTATGTCATCTGTGTATCGCAGTGATAGTTATGAATAATTGATACCGTTTGTCAGCGATGCATCTGTCGAAGATTTTTCAGACGCTTAAGCAGTGCTAGACTTTCGCTTGTCCCTACAAAAGTAAGATTTGCGAGTCATGTCCTAATGTTATGTTGAGGATGGAAGAGCACTGTTCTTTATTTTTGTCTTCGCTTTTCAATTTTTTTCTGTGGGGAGGATGGCTTCTCTGCTTTACAGAAGGAAACCAAGGTAAAGAATTTAATTCACTCCTCTCCTCACTTAATGCAACTTTAATTTAATATGCGACTTATTGACTGCCTGAGAAAAGTCAAATTAAATTCTTATTAAGAAATTCTCCTTTACCTACTAAGGATGAAATTTTCATTTTCCTCATCGACTCTTCCTATTTAACCTTAATTTGCTCTTGACTTCAATTCTTAACTTGGAAATCGAGTAAGTATGGTATTTTAATTTAATATTCTTCTTGCTATTTCGTAATTTTAATTCGACAAAATTCATGTGTTTTTTTCCGGTGTAAATGGTTTCTTTAATCCTCTTTTTTTCCGGTGGTGGAATTTTTCTTTTACATCAACTTTGCGATATATTTCCCAACTTGCGGTAAACTTTTAAGATACGCCACACTTCTACAGCTCTTAGCTTCATTTCACTTTGTTTTTCCAGCTTTTTAAATATTTTGTCAACATGGCTCAGTTCACAAAGCTCCAGTCAAAAAGGAAGAAGAGGAGGGAGGGGAGATTGAGGACCCTAGCGCACGCTCGTTTGGGGAAAGACGTTTATTTTTTGTTCCTTTAACTCCCCTTTCACTTTTTTTTTCCATCTTCGTTGTCATACCACTGAATAAGCTGTATCTTATCGCAAGAATATGTTTGTATTCCACAAAATATCTTCTTTCCAAATAATGAAGGAAGCTTTAATTAGTAATGAGAGAAAAACGAAGTTTTCATACAGCACTGTTTAAAATCCAACACTCTTCCAAAACGTGTAGAAATGATAAATTTCAGTCTTAAAACACTCCGAGTAAAAGCTGATTTTTTTGTCACAATTTTTGTATGATGTGATCGATTTAAAGGAAACGCGACAATTTATACAGAACTGTTTAATTGCATAGAGAAACACTTCGAGAAGTAAATTCATACCGTTTCGAAATAACATTACCGTACAGACTTCCTCGTACCTTTGACTCCTTCAGTCTCTTTCTTCCTCAGAATTATCCAGTTAAAAAATATAGCCGTATGGTGTAAAATTCTATCGTAATTTTGTTTCAACTTTGCGAGATATATAGCTTTGCTTACGAAATCTCGTAGGATGAAATGTCATTCAAAAGCCTTGAATACTGACTTCTTACCAACCGAGCGAGGGTGCCATACTGGGGAATATTGGCCTAATGTCACAGCGCTGGGTCCGTACAGAAACAACTGAGGGCCAATTATCTCCTGGACGGCTCGAGCAAGTGATATGTTTGAGCTGAGCAATATTTTAGCCGGCACTTTCTCTTTTAAGACGATTTCTCATTTGTGCAAAATTAACGACTAACCTGCCATTAGACCATTGCTGATTTAACATGAAACAGAAATGTGGAAGAGTTTGTTATACTGTTTGAAGCAAAAAAGGTCCAACATGCTTGTCATCATATCTCTACCTAATTAGTTGCAGGTATTCACAGTCGAAGTCTCATGTTTGAGAAGCCAATTGAAGGACATGCTCTGCAACAGCACGTTTTCAAACAAATATATTTATCCATGGGAATTAAGCCAGATAGCGACTGCAAAAATAGGTGTCTCATGGAAAATACCTGTGTGTCCGTCAACGTTGGCCCACCCAGCAAGAATGGATTCAGGGTCTGTCAACTGAGTGATTCTGATCACATTCAACATCCTGATGACCTTACACCCCAAGAAGGATACCAGTATTGGGCTTCAAAGGTATCGATATTTGGATAGAACACAATACGATAGATTCCTTTTCCAATTTTCCTTGGTATGGTTATACTGAGTTTTTATCACAATAAATCCTACTAAAGGTAAATTTATCCTTGCAGAATCCATGTTCAAGCAGCCCTTGTCTTCATAATGCAACCTGTCTAAATGGGTTTACAAATAAGAGATACATTTGCTTGTGTCAAGTTGGTTTTAAGGGAAAACAATGTGGAAAAAAAGGAGACCAGAAGCTGAGACTTGCTCTAAATAAATGTAAGGGTTACCTTCATGCTTGTGTGTTATCTCCTCATGTGAATCTGTATAGTGGATTGATTAATATTTCATTTGAAGGCTAGGGGACTGTTTACATGGAGATGGGGGACCCGAGGTAGGTGAGGTAATCCGCTAGCAGTGGTCGAAAAATAAAACGCGTTTACATACAATCTTACAACCCAGGGGTGCTTGGGTGAGGTTTCTTGGAGTTGTTATTACGTTCGCAATTAGGGAGTTTCAGCATAGGCGTCCCAAGCCTATGTCTCGAGAAAGACGAAAGATTAATTCTCGGACAGGGATGTATTTATTCATGAAAGCGTCACGCGTTATATTACGCGGTGTTGGGTTGCGTGAGGAGCCTTTGACTTAATACTTTATAAGGATTGTTTTGGGAAACGAAATATGGTCGATTTACGACGCTAAATATTGCGAAATGTGAACATTTTACACTCCTTGTGCGTCCATTGCAGTTTCTGGTGATTTCTGCCCTGAGAAGAGAAAATGTACAAGGTTTTACCCTAATGATTATCTGGGACCCATGTAGTAAGACATATGGTGGTTCTGATGTCCAAATGTGCATGCTTGTTTGTGTTGGGCTACTGCCGATCAACTCTACGACTTGTGACAGTGTGTGCCCTGGGTCAAACTTTGAAAAAAGAGCATGCGAATAGAAGATTTATCAGTAGGAGGTTACAAATGAATTACTTATCAAAAATCCTTTTCATTTGGAACGATTTTCTTCTCAGTTGAGTACAATTCACTTGGTTGTTTTAAAGACGGTACTCCCCAAGCTCTCCCGTTGTTACTAAAAAGCTTCCGGGGTAACATCGATTGGACTGACATGACGAAAATCGTTCGAGCATGCGCAGAGATCGCCAAGGAGCGTGGCCTCCCCGTGTTTGGAATCCAGTATTACGGAGAATGTTGGAGTGGACTGGACGCCGAAAACACGTACAATAAGTACGGACCTTCCGGAAACTGTTGGAATGGAGTGGGAAAGGAGAAAACAAATTATGTGTACAAAATATGAGTAAAAGTTCCAGTTTTTGTCGAAATTGAGGGGTTAAATATTTGACATAATAATCCTTAAGAGTAGGTTGTGACACGTCATAGAATTAAATGCTCCTAAATAAATAACAAAACTGCGTTATCGTTTTATATTCCCTTCAAATGAAAACCTGCAGCTATGAAATATCCCTTAAAAAAGACAACTTGTGGGGCATCCTAATATTTTCACTCTCTCCATAGTCACTAGTCACAGTTTCCCCGTAGTCACTAGTCACAGTCTCCACGTATACACTGTTCATAGTCTCTCCATTGTCAATAGTCACAGTCTCCACCAAGATACTGTTCATAGTCTCTCCATAGTCACTAGTCACAGTCTCCATGTATATGCTGTTCATAGTCTCTCGATAGTCACTAGTCATAGTCTCTCCCTTTAGTCACTAGTGATAGTCTCCCTGTAGTCATAGTCTCTCCCTCTAGTCACTAGTCATAGTCTCTCCACAGTCACTAGTCATAGTCTCTTCAGAGTCACTAGTCATAGTCTCTCCCATTAGTCACTAGTCATAGTCTCCCTGTAGTCATAGTCTCTCCCTCTAGTCACTAGTCATAGTCTCTCCACAGTCACTAGTCATAGTCTCCCCTGAGTCATTAGTCATAGTCTCCTCGTAGTCAAAAGTCAGTCTCTCCGTAGTCTTTCCATAGTCACTCCCAAACTGACTGCTTACAAGGATAGTTTGGTTTCATCAACTCAATTGATAATGTAAACTGGCCACAGAATAGAGTTTCTAAGATGACCTTTAGAGCGTTAGCCCTTTGTCAGAGGGAAGCCGCGGATGACATGACTGCTTACATACTCTCACGCCGGTATTAGATCGAGAACCTGTGACCATATGCAAGTACATTTTAAAAACGGTCAAGGGGTAAAAGCTAACTACACAGGAAGGAATGTTCAAATCTTTTGGAGCGATCCAAGTCGACAGTTTTCCCCAGAGATTGCTAACCACACCAGAATCTCCGCAGAATCTCCCGAGAAGATTTTCCGAAAGCTCTCAAAAATGCTGCCATCATGCCCTAGGCAACGGCTTTCTATCTTCTTCTACCAATTTTTTTTGCTTCATTTATAACACTCCCTAGTAATTGTTCTTATATGAAGCCACATACTTGTTTTTGTTTCTTCCCGATCTAAATATACAATTAATGAATACATTAAAATCATTCTTTCCGTTCTATCTGAACAAGTAAAAGTATGATTTTATTTGTGTAAAATTCCACGACAAAACAACTCTGAACATAATTCACTTTTTCAAATGTGTTTCCTTTTTCACTTGCCAACTATTCAATTCTCATTTTCTTTCTTTCGTTAAACAGGTATAACGGTGAATACTTGGCGATATTATTAACTTTTCTAGATCTTAAAAAAATAATTTGTCAGTTTTTTATGACTTATACAACATTTTTAGACCAATTGCAGTGTAAAGTAGTAAAAATATCAAAATATCTATCCATTACTAAATCTTAAATGACATCATTTTCTTGGCCATAGTCATTTCAAGTTTTTTCTACAAGTTGAACAACTTTACCACTAAAGAGCACATGATACCTTCGATTGCTTTCCAGAGGAAAAACCCCAAGAACAACGCCCTCTTTTACTTAAACCGTGCAATCAGAAAACACGATATACTGATCACCTACGGGTGTGTGAACTGTCACTGGAAAAGCAAACTTTCCTAAAGCAAATGTAGCATCAGCTCGCTTTAGTTCTTGCAGAAAAACCGAAAACGAAGTTATCGCAACAGCCAATCAAAACGAAGGAAAATATCAAGAGGCGTCAATAGAAAATCTGGTTAAAAACCACCCAACTTCCTTAGGCACAAGGGAAACGTGAGTTATAAAGTCACGATTGGCTTTAGATAAGGTGTGTTACTTTTAATAGGCAAAAATAAGTCGGCGCCTAACTCAATTTTTTCTCCTGACGGAAAACTAAGCTGAGCTTTCAAAACAAATACCACCAAGCCGAACGCAAATGAGATAAACTTTACTGATATTAAGAAGAAAGACTTAGCTGCTTACCGGCCGGACATGATTATGTGCTACACACGCGGGTCTCTATATTTGCGCCTGTGCAGTTTGCAGTCTGGCTGTAACTTTGACATTTCCGTTTACGATTCTGTGACCCGCTACCGCAGGTTTTGGAGCATGCTGACCATGCACCCCAGAAACCCCGACTGACATAACCTAAACATAAGAGAATGGTATTAATTAGACTGACATTTTTTTAGTCATGGGCTTTCGTGTTAGATCGGCTTAGTCTCGTACCCAGACCTTTCAAGGCCAAGCAGTTACAATTACAATTACACGATAGGATCTGAGTGCGAGACTAAGATCGGTTAATTTCTTAAGGAGGAGTCCTATCGGGACAAGAGATATCTGAAAAGTGTAGATTTATTGAACATTAAAACTTGGCTGTTTATTCCTTTTTTTCTGTGATGATATAACGGAAAGCTAATGGCGTCTTTGTGCTCTCGATCCTTTGTACGCTAACATTAAAAGATGAGGCGGGTGGATGGAAATGGCCGAGCGAAAATAGACGCTCGCCCACAGTTTTTGCCTGAAAAGGTTGCACCGCAATCGTAATCGTAGGAATAATTATGTCTAAGACTGTAGATGTTTACATTATTCGTGAACATGAAAACTCTGCACTTACTCGAACGATCCCTGAGCAAACACGACTTAATCTGTTCACTCGGCCCAAAGCTCGCTCGTCCTCCATGCTGAAGCGGAGGATTGGAACAAGATCGCCTCCTAGCCTTGGTTCCAGACCCACGTGTTTTAGAGCAGTCTTCCCATATTGACCACAGTGTTCAGCGACCGTTTACTAAGGAAAAGGGAGGAAAGGAACGGAATAGTATGATGACCTTTTCGTTGATTTAAGATCTGAGTTGTAAGACGCGAGCTAACTGATTCCAGGTACAAAGAGTCCAGCTCGAGCGTTCATTTCTTGTTGCATTCGCTGTATGCTTTTTTGCATACCTGATGTTCCATCAGATTAAACTCAAATAACTCCCTCCTCCAGCGATTTTTATTGACTCGTCGGACGAATTTTTCTTAAGGAGAGACCAAATGAAATGCACAATCGGATACGACAACACTTACAGTGAGTATTTCTGCTATCGATAACGATCTACCTAATGGCAGCACACATTTCTCCGGCCCTACTGCAAGACTTTGAAGTTGCTTTATTGTTTACTTAGTGAGTATTTAATTGACCCAATTGTTATTGCGTCTTGATGGAACGTGAAAACGCAAAAGAAAACAACAAAATCTAGCTATCTTGCTGGAAAAAGTTGAGCAAAAATCATTATATTCTCAGCAAATGGCGCGAAGAATTGCGTTTTCGTGTTAGCGAAATAAACCATCAAAGTGATGAATGATGATTTTAGATATCTGAAATTCATATAGTTACACTGCAGTGAAGAAATAAAATTAAGAGATCCTTTGGACCCAACACATTGACCAGCTCCCAGTTGGCTTGTTAGCTCAGTTGTTAGAGTGCTGCACCGGTATCGCGGAGGTCATGGGTTCAAATCCCGTACGGGCCTGAATTTTATTTCAGGTCCTCTTTTCAACTTCTCATTTCAGTAGTGTTTTTAGCTGCGAGGATCTCTTAATTTCATTTCTTCACCGCAGTACAAATATATAAATTTCATATATCTAAATCATCATTCATCTCTTGGATGGTTTATTTGGACCCAACACATTGACCAGCTTCCAGTTGGCTTGTTAGCTCAGTTGGTAGAGCGCTGCACCGGTATCGCAGAGGTCATGGGTTCAAATCCCGTACGGGCCTGAATTTTTTCAGGTCCTATTTTCAACTACTCGTTTCAGTAGTGTTCTTAGCTGCGAGGATCTCTTAATTTCAGCTTGTCTCAAGTTTAACGTCGGAATCCTGAATCTGATCAAAGCGAGGTGTCGGTGAGGTAAGTATTGTACATTAGTCGACCGTACCACTCGCGCTAGTGTGAAAATTGACCTCCTACCCAAGTTTCTTCAGCGGCCATGTCCATTCTACTTGTTCAAAGCATAGCCAGAGAGAAGCGAACTTGGAAATGCAGATCCAAAACGCTCGTTTCCAGCGGAATGCGTGGGGAGTTTTGGTATTGAGGGTACAATGATCTTAGATCGGAAAGTATGGCTGAGAAAAATGCCGATCGGGAGGATTTTCGGGGCGCAAACCACCTCCGCGTGAACAGCGGTCGAAATCGGAGTGTGCGGCCTTGACTTCGTCTTTTGACAGGAATAACAGTGGTGGTAAAGTACGCTTAAAACGGCAGAAATCGCCAGAAACTACAACGGACACAGGACGTAAGTAAGTTTTACTGATTTTACGGGTAAAATGTCCATATTTCAAAATATTTATCGTTGTAAATCGACCATATTTCGTTCCCCATACTATTCCTTATAACCAGTTCCAATTTTCAACAGTTCCTCTTGAACCTTAACACCGAGTCACACAACGCGTGACGCCTTCATGAATTAATTGTTGGCTTTCTCTCGAGACGTGAGCTTGGGGCGCCTGTGGTGCCACCCACCAGGCATAAAATATGGTTTCATTAAAGGCAAGCAATAAGATTGCTTAAAACTAACTCTTCCAATAAAAAAAAAACATTTGAAGAGGGCCGTTTGAAATTCAAACAACGCTTCAAAGCAAGAGGTACTCAGAAAACATCATAGAGATGTCTCTGTCAGGGGTCAACTTGCCTCTAGACAATCGGACATTAAAATACACAAAGGCCGAAAGGTCACGAACGTGTATTGCCTTTCGTCACAACGCGCCACCCGGCAGTTAAAAATGTCAAACAAATATTGATGGAACAATGGAGTCTGATACACAATCAGTCGTTGCTGAAAACAAATTTTACAAAACCTCCGATCATCTTTTACAAAAAGAGAAAATCTCTTTAAGACATGCTCTTTAGAGCAAAAATATAATTTGAAGGCGGTAACGCGCCGCGACCACGAAAGCCACGTGGGGAGTCCGTGCCGCTCTATCTTTACCCTTATTCTCATGTCGCGTCGCCGCGACTTATCGCTTGTATCCACTATTCTCGTCTCTCTGTTGTCAATTCTTCTTCGAAGGAAGACTCATTTTTAATAACTGATGGTATTCGATAAAGTCAAGTCCCAATTACTTCTGCTGCTACAGCCGAAAACTACACAAAGAACCATTTTTACTTTCTCACTAACACCTTACTACGAGCGCATTTGTAACTATTTGCTTGGGCACCAACATGGTGGATATCAACCGTCGTCAAGACAAAAGTCACGTGGGTGGAAACTAAGAATCCCTGCCAAAATGTATATAAATGAAAAAGGAGAAAAGTAGAAACAAACAAGCGAAGCAGTCAAAGTAATCACAAAGCTAAATTGACAGATCTAAGTGTATGGTCTCTTCATTCTGCGACTAAAACGCGTCGCGCTAAGATATAATTCCACCAAACACTCCTCTGAGAAAAGCGCTGGAAGAATTAAAGCATGCCTGCGTGATTAAGGAAAGGGATTGATATGTCTGGGGTACAGGCTCTTAACCTGTTATATTGTAAGTCAATCTCAAGATAGTGAAGAAGTGTAAATCTCGTCAAATTACAAACCAGCAAAAATTTTAAACTGTAAAGTGTTTAATAAAGTCACTAACAGTTAAGATTTCCTTGTAGTAGAGACTAAAGGTCTTAAACCATTGAAACTCGGCTATATAATTACAGTTCTTTTTTAATACCTATTGTTTACCAAACAAATGAATTCCAGGCTAGTTATTCTTTATGCTTTTATGTAGCTCTGTCTATTGAGGCGTCACAACTACTGAAGCGCTCTTATTTCAAAGGGAGAGCTGACATTCAAGCGCAGAAATGATCCACGCAGGTTAAACTCAAATTTAAGTAGTTGTGGAGAAGAAATCTCTAAAACGTTCAGGCCTCTAAGGAATTCGTGCCTTCCAGCTACTTGCTAAGAGCCATCACCAACTGAGCTACGAAACCACACGTTGCGAGCAGGGCAATTCGGGTAGTGGGTTCTTTGTTCCTGTAATGAAAACTACATTCAAAACAGAATTCAATGTTTCTTTGTTTTTTCCATAACGTTTGTTAAGTTTGCCTCCTCTATAAGGTTGCAAAGTTACTCGCTTATGAACAACTTACTGAATCAAAACGGAAACTCTCAAACTTGCGCAATCTTCGCTAAATGAAAATAAATAATGGCGACAGCAACAGGCCCACGGAAATTTTTCAAGAAGGAATAAAGTATTTAACGAATTCGCTGGCACTTTTTAAGATAGTGTTCACGACAGATATTCTTAAAGCTCGGTATACCGTCTACCGACATGATAGTTATTTTTCAAATGATTATTTACACCTGTCGTATAAACAGACTTACTATTGTTTTGTGCGCCAAAATTTATAGGGTTTTTCATGATTCCTTTTGATTACTTTTATTTTCCTTTTTGGCGATTGAAAATGTGGGAGAAGTTCCCAAAGGAAAACATTTGGCCAATCAGTTCACATTTCGTGACTTTCCAGAGCTATATATTTTATAGCTGTGTAATTATTCTGAAATGACGGTGTTTGCCCCATATGCCAAATGAATGGGAAAACACAAAACATTTTTTTTATAGTTAATATCATTATTCAGTGAATTAATGAAACTGTAGAATTGTTTTTACTCCAATGCAGAATACAAAAAGACTTACATTTCTGAAATTTAGTTCTGAATTAGTTATTCCCAGGGAAGCTATCTAAAGATAATAGCAGTGATAATAATATCTAAAAACTAAATGAGAACGACACAATTTTCCGAGTATCTTCCTTTTTTCTTTTTTTTTTTTTTTTTTCTTCGTTCCCTTGTTTTATTTTGATGATTGTTTCAGGCAAATACTTATAAATATAAGTAAGGTACTTAGTAATAAGCAAATTTTGTGCACAAAGGACGTTGGAGGAGATATTTAAATAAGAAACTTGTGTCGCCGCCCTTTGATTAATAATGAATAGCAATAAGGATAAAACTTCGGCGCATTGCGCTTTAATACCCTGACAGTGCGAGAGATGGGCAACTGATGGCTGCTGCATTCATCTAATAGTGATGAAAATATTTCCTGACAAGACTCTTAAGATGGAGTGCCGTTGCTGCCCAGTGTTTTCTTTCAGATCTTTCCTCTTCTTGTTCGGAGGCTGGTTCTACACCGTGACAGTTGCGAACCAAGGTGAGTTAACTTTAACATTGCTTTGTCTAGGTTTGATTAAAATTTACTCTTGAAGTCAGATAAATCCGGAATTAAAGGAAGCTAAGTCGAGTTGGCGATAGGGCCAAAAAATAATGCATAATGATTTGAATAGCTTATTCCATCGTATAGGGTGATAAGGTTCTGAATTAAAAACTGCTGTGACCATTTCTAAGAAACTTGAGCACAACGAAATATGATATTTTGTTTGCAAGTATAGCTTACTGAAGTTCATAAAAAAACGGTAACCACGATTTAAGAGGGAGCTAAACAAGTTTAAGACGAGTTGCAACAAACTCAGTCGTGACCGGAACGTAAACCGTAACGTTTTTTCTTAAATTCTAAATTTTGATGAGAATTTATTCAGATCAATTCCATCATTAAACAAGCAATAAATGCGAACTAAAAGCTACAATTCGATGAAAAAAGAAACACTTTTTTGCTGGTTGGTAACAATGATCTAACTGATCGAGAGTTTGCCGAGTAACACTAATAAATGATTCATCAGAAGGAATAAGACACCGTGAGACCAGTGTAACGTGAGGAAAAATATCGATAAGTGGAATATTATTAAAAAAAAATATAGGGTTTTTGTCTCTCAATAATTTTCTTTCTTATTTTTGGATGGTTCTAAAGCCATTTTATTTGTAAAAAAATGAGTCGTGATGCTTGTGTACCCAATAGGTATTCAAACTCTGAGAAACACTGCATGTTGTCGAATATTTCAAATGCAGGTGTTTCACGAGTGTTTGACTTCGCCTCAGTCTTGAAATGGTAGACTATGCGTTCAAATCATCTTCTAAGGAACAGACGAAGGTATCTGTTAAAAGAAATGCAATATAGGTGTTTTTGGAATTCAGATAAATGCTGAGGCTAAAACGCTTCAATTGTTAAAATTGTTTATGATCAATAAGAAAAACCGCTCAGAGAGGTCTTTATCCTTTTCCACTCGACCCTTTATCTTTCATCATTATGAGAGTATAAGAACTCGTTTTTCCGCTCTCGTTTTGATAAAAGGTAAATAAAATGAAAATGTTCTATTCCTAAGCAACAACTTTGCCTCTTTGGCGGCGAAAACTTAGACGCACCCAATTAAATCGCGGTTATTAATGATTTACCGCGAGTAAGGAGTCTGTGAGTCGATGGAGTTAAACATAAGAGTCTTTATGACGCGGCCAAAAAGAGAATAGTCGCCGAGAAATCGAAAAAACCGAAGTTTTCTTTTTTTCCTTAGCCTGCTTTGTCCTCTTTTCGTTCTGTTTCTGCCGGTAAATTTTTGGATTTCCCTTAAGACATTCTAATTTCGTTTTCCCTGTTTAGCGAAATGATCTTTCTCGAGAATCTCAAAGGAGTTCTTTGTCACAAGACTTTCAAAGGGGTCTGATATTTAATTGGCGGTGGCATGATTGCATTGGCACGCGTCTAAACAAGATGCAAAAACTATGACTAACTATGGAAGCCAAAAACTCGAGGTTTGTTTCTCGCGTGTTATTTCTATTGAAACAAATTGATTGGGTGTGTAGATTTTTGGATGTTCCTGATAATTGACCAGAATGTTTGTTAGATATTAACGCATCAAAGTAAGTTAGGCGAACAGAATTCGAAATATCACTCTCGTAATGTCCCGGAGCGTGGCAACAACCAAAATATTATCTTCTGTCCAACTTCATATTCCTGTTTCACCAATGCACAACGTTTGGCAGTAAGTGCATGTTAGGTAACAGATGAAATTGGCGGAGGTGCACGTGAACTGATCGGTAAAGGGATTGCTTGGGTTCCGATATTTCTGGACGTCGTGAATGAAAGAACAAGTTTTGCATCGTGTGTGCGCGCGAACTTCTGTTTCGTTCCGTTGCCGATATTTTTGTCGCGTTTGAGTACAGGTAGTAGAGGTTACCGAAGAAAACGACTTGGTGACCGATTCCGAGAACACACTTGCGACGAAACCCTTTACAATGGCAAATTTACATTATAAACTCAGTTGATAAAACACAATGACTTTGCTATACTCTCCCGCAGACGCAGCATCACAATTTCTTTAGAAACTTACGCCCCATTTATACATTATAAATAACATTGCCCACAAGTAGTTCTCTAAGTCGGGTGAGGTTCTGTAACATTCTGTGAGTGCCAAAATTGAAAAAACTATTCAATAGAACGGCGATATCCCAACCAAAGACTGTCGAAAAGCGATGCACACTCCGAACGTTTGGTAAATAGATTCTAGAATCCCAATCGACTGAATTTTCAGCCCATTGAGTTGATGTCCATAGAAATTCTCAAATCTCCAAGATCGCTCGATCTTTGAATCTATTCAGGTTTTATTCAGTTAAAGTCTACTCTATTGGCATCTTTCAGAGAGCCGCTTTGCACACTTATGATCCACTACTGTCTTATTTATAGATAGCTGTCGGCGAGTCAATTTCATGGAAAAAGAGGATGGATATGCATTGGTCAACCATATTTTAAAAAATATTTCATTACCTGTCGGAATGCATACGTACAGTAACTGCAAGAATAGGTGTATGATGGAAGACAGATGTAAATCAATCAACATGGGACCAGAAGATAAAGATAAAGTTTTGTGTCAGATAAGTGACTCAGATCACGTTCAACACCCAAATGATCTGAAACCGACAGAAGGCTTTACGTATAGGGGCATGGAGGTAAGCAAAAAAATTTCGGTTTTTGAGTTTGCAAATTTTAAATCCTCTTTTGTAAATCGCGCGAAAAAAGTCACAGAATCGTGATAAAACGTGTCGCAGGCGGCAAGAGTCCTTCGTAATATTGATTTTTACTGGTGTTAAACAAGTGAGTGAAAAATTAGGAAACGAAGTCAAAGAAGGGGAAAGAAATAAAACGAGTCGAACGTGAGAGGACCTGATGTCACAGATAGGAGTTTGATTCCCACACAAACTTGATTCTCGTCCATACGAAGCTGTCGAAAAGTTCTTCCAAAACAACATCCCATCGTATCCTTTAAGATTATGAAACAATACCACGACAGACCATTCAAATCCATTTTCGTTCACGGCCACTTCATTCAAGAAATCGAAAAAAAAATTCTGAACAATTTTCAACGCAAAACTCCTGCGCGTTCTCATCATTAGCGGTCTTTTAACGCAAGAGAATAGGATGATGTTACAATCTTCAACATAACGTGCTACTCGTCTTTTTTTCTTTTTTGCCTGTTGACTGTAACACTTATGTTGACATATTCCCCACAGACTTGGCATTTGGCCACTCCTCATCGATATTTGGCGACTATGGATCTTCGATCACCCCTATTTGATTCTTTCTTGTGGTTGTTTTCGACTTCCTTGAAGAATTCGGGCAAACTTTTTGTACCTTTTGCAAATAGATTCACGCAGGGATTGGGTCGAGTCCAATGATACCGATAATAAGCTTCTCCATAAAACGAACGTAGACATACACAGCACATTTGAAGAGAAGTGTCACCTTGACGATTTCCAGGACAATTACGGCGATGACATGAGAAACATTTCTTTCCTCCGCAAGTATGATGATCATAATGATCTGTATTAAATCCACAGTCGCATTCGTGACAATGAGAAGATTTGCTCAAGATTCCTCCTTACGATGCGAAATCATGATGGTGATGTCCATCTACTTGCACTGGTTCAATCTTTTCAAGGACCCTTGAAAATAGTCAGGTGAAGCTTATTCAACGACACCACTTGAATCTGGTACTCGAGACTCGCTGCTTTTTTCAAACTTTTCCAATTCCCTTACACCACAGGATCATTCTTCCACACCTGCCAATCGATATAGCCACGTTACGTTATATGATCAGTCCATTTGAGCCGCATGGTACTAAATCACGCTATTTGATTGATTAGGACCCAGAGTGCCAAATAACATTTCTGGGATGTTATAAGATCTTTTTATAACGCCAGAAAAATTTTTCTATGTCGTATCTGAGAACATTTAAGTACAAGTTTTTGTACTCTTTTTTGTGTTCTCATAATATATCCAAAGAGTTATTATCAATCCGAGCGTGTATAATCATTTTATGAAAAATGAGGCAAAATATATATCAAAGTTCACATGACAACCAGGTAGACAATCAGACATGGTTTCGTGTTACTCTGGTTTAAAGATTTAATGAATGTAACCGAGAAGTTACAATTCATAGACCCAACGTTTCGACATTCCTGTTTAGTGCCTTCCTCATCACCTCTCATCACCTCTGATTAAGACACATAACTGCCATGCCAAGGCTGTGTTTATCGAGAAGTCTTACAGTTATAGATGTAAAGAAGGTTTTAAGGGAGAAAGATGAAATTTCAAGGTTAAGTTCAGAGTAATCATTGCAATACATTTTTAGTAATGTAGCATTCCTAGATTACAAACCTTTTTTATTCTACCATAATTTAATTTTGCCAAAGAAAGGCAAGAACACGCTCAAAAAAAAAAGGTCACAACGGAGCGAGTAAAAACAGTTAAAGACAAGAATAGAAGCAAAAAAAAGAAGAATTTGAGAATAATAATAATGATGATTATAATCGAATTATTCAGTATAACCCTTCAATACAAAAGTACTGTTATCAACAAGGTCCTTTTGATTAAGATTAAAAACTCAGAAATAAGAAATTAAAATATATATAAGATAAAATCTATTAAAACAAAAATACACTAAGTTAAAAACTATTAAAACTACAATGGAAACTACAAGTAATAATTGTCCAGGGCTTTCCTAAATGAAAACTCCAGAATTTATGTTCCTTAAACCTAAAGGTAACGAATTAAAAATCGAGGCACCCAAAAAATAAAAACTACGGCGCGCAAAATCCAGTTTGGCTTTTGGTAGCTTTGCTGTTTTTCCATTGTTCCCTGTGTTTATTGCGTTATGTTGTAAAAAAAAAAAAAAACAAACATCTGACGGAAAAGAAATCGTTGGAAAACTCCAGCTATACCGTCGTCAGATTTTGTTAATCACTCGTCTATTTACAGACCGCATCAAAACTCCACTCGATCTTTTCACCATCTCTTTTAAAACTGATAGAGTGGTGACTTGACATATCAAGATGACAAACCAATAAAATAAACATAGGTAATAAGAAAGCTTGACTATGCTTTTTAATAAACGAAAGAACTTATGATATGAAAAGAGGTTGAGTTGAACCTTTTTTGGCCTTCAGCATTCAAAGCAGTTTTGACAAATCTCAATGCCACTGGAAGATATGGTCCAATATCGCTGGGCAGTCATTACACAGGTCAGGATCATGACAGACAAGTTACATTGTCCAGCGGTATTCAACAGTGGACTGTGCCGTACACTGGTGACTACAGAATAGAAGCAATAGGAGCAGCAGGAGGGTACGATCGACGGATTAACAGCTCTCAGTACCGTGGAAGAGGAGCAAGAATGATTGGAACATTCCGCTTAAACAAGGGTGAGGTCATTCAAATACTTGTAGGGCAAGAAGGAGGAATGAACATGTCCAAATTTTCTTCTGGCGGTGGTGGAGGTACATTTGTAATGAGAGGAGCCGACTCACCTTTGATAATAGCTGGAGGCGGAGGAGGCACACAAAATGTTATGTCAAGGCATAAAGGATGCGACGCCAGTACAAATACAACGGGGAATCCTGGTTACAAGTCGTGGTCAGGGGGGAGTAATGGGCATGGTGCTCAAACTGCTGATGATTATTCTTCAGGTAAGATAATACTGTGATGATCCCTTACCTCTCAGCTCCTTATTAATGAATGTGTTAATGTATGCTTCAAATTTAAATAATCGGCCTTTGTCCCCAAAAAAAACAAAAAAGCATTGAGACTACCTAGGATGAGGACCAGTTTATTCATATAGGGATAATATAGACTCATGTAAAAATATTAAAACTAACGGATGGCGGCTTAATAGAAATACTTCATACACAGGTTTGACCACGCTGATATAGGGACATTAGAGATTCAAAAAAAAAAATTCTAAGACCTTAATCATCATTTGTTTTTGTTTTCGTTTTTGTTTTGTTTTGATTTTTATTTTCTCAGGGGGTGGTGGTGGCGGGTTTTACTCCAGTGGAAGAAGTGGAGAGAATTTCAATGGGACCAAGGGAATCGGCGGAGAAGGTGGTAAGGGATTTCTGCAAGGGGGGGTGGGTGGGAGATCAATATATTACAATATAGTTGGTGGGTTTGGTGGAGGGGGTGGAGCTTTTGGAAGAGGAGGAGGAGGAGGAGGGTACTCTGGGGGAAGCAGTGGAGATAATGATCGTGATTCCTGTGGGGGTGGGGGCGGCTCTTACAACGATGGAAACAACCAGGACAATGCATGTTGTTATAGAACGGCTGGTCATGGTCAGGTGATTATCACATTACTCTGAAATGAAAAAATACGTCTAATCAAATATAGTGATGACGGAATTAGAATTCAACTCCGTATGATTGGCATTCCGGTTGACTGATAGCAGTCACTAAAAATATAATTTAGCCCGAAATTAAAGGAGGCCCTTATCTACGACTAAAAAGACAAAAAAAGCCCATACAATTTGAGATAGTAATGATATTTTTTTCCAGTAGTCGGATTTCACTCGTCGTACTTTTGATAATGGATTGAAATTAAACGCGATCAAATATCATCAGCTTTGAAGTTAAACGAATGAATTTCTGTCTTCTTGTTTAAGTAGTCGCTCCGTTAGAGCAAATGTTGTTTAACCCTTTACCTCCCATGAGTGACCAAGAGAAAATTTCTCCTTACATTGTCAATACAATATCAAGCATAGAAGTGATGAGAATAGAGAAAAATATCAATTCGGGAGTTATCAGTTGATCCAATACCAAATTCTCCAAATTGACATCATAACAGTTGTATGGTAGACAGTAAGGAGAATTACTTATGAGATCTTAGGAGTTAAAGGGTTAATCCTCGTGATAAGGTCATTTTGAAAGATGACATTACGCATGGACCAATCGTCACAAGGGACAATCTTAAACGATGAGAAACAAATTCTGAACGATTGTATGAGTTATGAGCATTTCCTGTTCGTCAGCATCACTACGCTGATCTAATTTACCGATCTTAAGAGAAGATTAGTAAAGCTTTGAATCCAAACAGTAGGGAAGCTCCTAATACAGTAGAAGTTTATGACCCAAACGCGTTCTCGAACGCTGCTACAAAGTATAATCTTAGATTTAAGTATTCGTAATCAAATGATCAGGAGAGAATTAAGGAGGTAATTTTATACACGAATTGTCAAGATTCGAGCCTTTTTGAGCCTTTAGGCAAGGGAAATAATTAGAAATTGCAAATTAGTATGACAACGAAAAAACCCAACAAAGCTGCCACAACAGCTTTCTCGATGTGCTTGTGAAATTGTAAATAAATCTAAAGTTTCGGACCAAAATTAGGTACGACGTATCTGCTAGTATTTGGTTTCCCTATAGAAAGTAAAATGGTCCTTTTGTTGTGTGAATCGTACATATTGCATAAGTGTTTGATTCAAGTGATAGTATTCCTCTCCCTTACCCTTAAAAATGTCACATATGTACATATATATGTATTCTTAGATAACTGCGTGACCTGCGTTTGGTTCTCTAACACACCTTTTACAAAAGTTTATATCATGCACTTTGGTAGAGTGTCGTGGATGAGAAAAGTAAGCAAACCACGTATTTCGTAGATACACTTATCATAAACAGAAAGATATCGATGCCATCGGCTAAAAAGTTTTTTGTTTGACCTAGAAGAGAAAGAAAAAAACTACTCTATGACATTAGATTCAATCGAGAGTTTGGAAAAAGATGGTTGAATCCCTGTTTCACTCGAACTTAAGAAGCTTGATGTTAATTTACCTTGCCTAATGTTAACATTACCTTGAGTAAGACTTCGAGGTTTTATAGTAGCTGTAAATTTGACACGAGGTTAGGTTTAACTTAGCGTCTCCGCATAAAACTTTTTAAGAAGAAAAGTGTTCTTCAAGTTTTATTTCATTCAAAAACATCATGAAGCTGTTACTACATCGTAGGTGAGACTGGAAGCTTAGTGCAAAGCTAACAATAAAAAAAAAAAAGTTCTCCAGTATATTGTTTGTGACTTTCTTGACTGCACACGCGATAATCGAGTAGGGGAACTATTTCAAATATCCAAAACCTTCCTTTTCTGTTTGTGCGTGAATGATAAAATCCGGCTAAATCAAGTCTAATAATCAATTTAAAACTAAAAAGGGAAGAATCAATGAATAAACAAAAGAAACATAGCAGAATTGAGTAGGAATTACCTTCATATTGAGAGTAATTTTGTTTCAACACTACATTGTCGTCACTAGCGAAATAATACGTCTGACACAAAAATATTTAATATTTAAAAAAAAAACCTAAACTTATCTACTTTAAGAGAAGAATCCTCGTCTTTTATACTGAATTATCTTTTAGAAAATCATGCTTAATGTTGAAAAAGTGGATCTGCAAACGTAAACAAAGGGTTCATTTCAATCAACACAAGGGATTCAATTAATTCCCATAAAGCACTGCATGGATTCTTTTCCAAAGAAGTTGCTTCATTAAAACTCCTCTTTTCCCAATGATGGCGTGTTGGTAAGCAAACAGCTCAATGCACAGATGGGAAGCAATACACGAAAGAAACATAACAGAATTGAGTGAAGGATTACCTTCATTTTGAGATTAAGCCCCCCCCCCCTCCCCTCTCTCTTTCCTTAGAGTAAATTATTATTTGTCTGCTTTAAGGGGAGAATCTTTGTCTTTTACACTTAATTCTATTTTAAAAAATATCCGTAATGTTGAAACAGTGATCTGCAATTGTAAACTAAAGATGCATTTCAATCAACACAAAGGATTTAACTGATTCCTTTAGTACTCATGATGGATTCTTTTCCAAACAAGTTGCTTCATTACAAATTTTTTTTTCATCCAATAATGGTGTGTTATAAATAAACAGCTCAATGCACAGGTGGAAAGAAATAAAATTTTCCAAGAATTTCAAGGTTGTGAATATCATGTTTATGTGTTGTTTACACAGGTTAAGTCAATATTTTGACTTCCTAATACCAATGAATGTCTTAGCGTTTCGTTCTTTACAAAGTTTCAAATTAATGTGTTTCGATCGTGATGACGTCTCAGTTCCCCCCTGTCACAGATCGCAGTAATCCGGTAAATTTAAGTTATAGGTGTGTTTCAACAAGCGGGGCCCGAATACTCATCGAATCTCAGCTGGCCGCTATGGGCCTAGAAAGTCAAGTCGAATCTATTCTCGTCTCCTGGGTGGAGGGAATAATGGCCTAAGAATGACACGGCGTGTATGTCATCTGAGTATCGCATTGATAGTTATCAATAATTGAAACAGTTTGTCAGCGATGCATCTGTTGAAGATTTTGCAAACGCTTAAATAGTGCTGGACTTTCGCTTCTCCCTTCAAAAGTAAGATTTGCGAATCATGTCCTGATGTTATGTTGAGGATGGAGGAGCACTGTTCTTTATTTTTGTCTTCGCTTTTAAATTTTTTTTATGTGGGGAGGATGGCTTCTCTGCTTTACAGATGGAAACCAAGGTAAAGAATTTGATTCACTTTTCTCCTCCCTTAATGCAACTTTCATGTAATATATGATTTATTAACTGCCCGAAAAAAGTCAAATTAAATTCTTATTAAGAAGGTCTCCTTTACCTACTAAGGGTGAAATTTTCATTTTCCTCATCGACTCTTCCTATTTAACCTTAATTTTGCTCTTGACTTCAATTCTCAACTTAGAAATCGAGTAAGTATGGTATTTCAATTCAATAGTCTTCTTCCTATTTCGTAACTTTAAATTCAACAAAATGCTTTTTTTTCCGGTGTAAATGGTTTCTTTTATCCTCTTTTCTTCCGGTGGTGGAATTTTTCTTTTACATCAACTTTGCGATATATTTTCCCAACTTGTGGTAAACTTTTAAGATACGATACACTTCTATGTCTCTTAGTTTCATTTCATTTTGTTTTTCCAGCTTTTTAAGTATTTTGTCAACATGACTCAGTTCACATAGCTCCAATCAAAAACGAAGAGGGGAAGGGAGGGGGGATTGAGGACGCTAGCGTACGCTCTTTTGGGGGAAAACGTTTATTTTTTGTTCCTTTAACTCCCCTTAACTTTTTTTCTCCATCTTCGTTGTTATACCACTGAATAAAGTGTATCTTATAGCAAGAATATGTTTGTATTCCAAAAAAAATTTTTGTTTCTAATTAATGAAGAAAGCATTAATAAGTTACGAGAGAAAAAGGAAATCTTCATACAGCACTGTTTAGAATCTAAAGCTTTTCCAGAACATGTAGAAATGATAAATTTCATTCCTAAAACGCTCCGAGAAAAAGCTGATTTTTTTTGTCACAAATATTTTGTTAAGGTGAATTCATACCGTTTCGAAATAACATTACTGTACAAACTTACTCGTATCTTTGACTCCTTCGGTCTCTTTCTGCCTCAGAATTATACAGATAAAAATACAGCCGTATGACAGTCCGGGCCATAACCATTTCTGGATACTTGATGACGTCACCAACATGGATGTCGTAGTGGGACATCGAGGAAACTCACTCATTACTTTTTTCGAGCCCTAGCGACTTAGTTCCCTAGCCATATCCCATGAAACCTTGCAAAATTACAGAAGACAAGCAATTACACGCAACAAGCAAAGAACTGATGGTGGTCGCGATGACGAGAAGGAAAAATTCAGATGAAAAGTCGGGTGGAGGTCCTGTTGCGAAGGGCTCGATCGAGGAAAAACCTCCATTTAGTTGAGGTTTTCAGGTATGCAACATTTTTTTTGATTCCTAAAAAAAATCTTTTAAAAAACTAGAATAAATTTGCTTCCAATTTGTCAAAATTCCAATCGAGTGCACGAAGTTTTTGCTCGAGTGCACGAATGTTGAAAGTCTTAGTTTGCAAACTACCAGACGGATTCCTTTGTTCAGACCCATCGGAGTATCGTGTAAACCATAAAATTTAACCATACGATGTGGCCGACCAATTTAAAGTAAAAGGAAAATTATTTATCGGACCTTTACAATCCTACATTGTGAATTTCAGATCAAGCCAACAGCATGGATGAACACATTCAGTATCTCGAGACACTTTGTTGTCTCATGTGTATTCGTCTTAATATAGATTGTGACTACTTTATTTTATTTTATCCCACTCATGTTTTTATTGCCGTTTATTTTCCAGGTATCATAATTTCAAGATCAAAGCTCCACGTGGAACACCGCTTGTTATTCAAAGTGAAGACGACGACACGTATGACTCGCATGCACTGGCTTGTCTTCTTCCACGAGAAATGGAACGCATTCCAGAGGCTCTACGAGAAGTCCAGATTTTCAGCAAATCGCAGAGAAAGACATACACTTTAGGAGATGTCAAAGGGCAGCAGATCGGCACGGTTCAGCACTTTCTAAACATACAGCTGCATGCTTTGCTTCGATGTGGCAAAATAACCAGGAATTGAAGGGTGAGTTACTGTTTTCTTGCTTTACTGTTACTTTTTCGTAAAGGCTTGCTGGACTGAAATTGATAATGTCTATTTAAAAATCGGAAAGAAGCAAGATATTGTCTTTCCTCGACCTATACTGGAGAGAAATGAAATTGTCCCGATTCCGCGATCTCACACCTCACTCGTCCCAATTGTTATCAGTGCGCGTTATTTGGTTCAACTTTATTTAATTGGTTTTCTTGTAACCCAAAATAGGGAAATCAACGGAGAACGGACAGTAACATCGAGGTCAAGCTTTACCCAGAAGTTCTCCAGATACAAACAGGCTGGCGGAGGAGCTTTTATTCCTGTGACGCTCTTGGTGGAAGGACCACAGCGTTACAAAGAATTTGTGCTAGAAAGAATCCGCTTTACTCTTCCAGAATGCGAGAATGTCGAGGACATGCATGTTGAATGTTTGAAATAAACGAATATTTTTAATGGTACCTTACGTCCAGTCCTTATTAGCGAATTTTGTTTCAGCTTACTACCTTACTACCGCATTACAACATGGCCGCCAGAAAAAAAAAATTAGCTTCTTCTTGTTTCCATTATCTCTCGGCCAAATTTGCTTTGTTTTGGTTTTGATCTCACCCAATCACAAAGCTCGAAACCGATATCCAGAAATGGTTATGGCCCGAACTGTATGATATAAAATTATATGTTAATTTTGTTTCAACTTTGCGAGATAAGTAGCTTTGCTTACGAAATCTTGTATGATGAAATGTCAACTAAAAGCCTTGAGTACTGACTTCTTACCAACCGAGCGAGGGGACCGTACTGGGAAATATTGGCCTAATGTCACAGCACTGGGTCCGCACAGAAACAACCGAGGGCCAATAATCTGCAGGACAGCTCGAGCAAGTGAGGTAGGTGAGTAGATCGAAGGTTTTTTAAATTTGCCCTGTTTCGTATCCAAAAATACACGGCTCGTGGATGTGTCAGAGCGCTCGAATTTATCTCAAGACTATCTTCCCATGTTATAAACGTATTGAATAACCATAATGTCTTTAACTAATCTCAGCAATATCTTAGCTTGCGCCTTCTCTTTTTAAGGCGATTGTTCATTTATGCACAATTAACGACTAACCTGCAATTAGACCATTGCTGATTTAACAGTAAACAGAAATGTGGAAGAATTTGTAATACTACTTGACGCAAAACAAAGTCCAACATGCTTGTCAGCATATCTCTAACCAATCAGTTGCAGGTATTCATTGTCGAAGTCTTATGCTTGAGACGCCAATTGAAGGATATGCTCTCCAACAGCACTTTTTCAAACAAATATATTTATCCATGGGAATTAAGCCCTATAGCGACTGCAAAAATAGGTGCCTCATGGAAAATACCTGTGTGTCCGTCAACGTTGGCCCACCCAGCAAGAATGGACTCAGGGTCTGTCAACTGACTGATTCTGATCACATTTAACATCCTGATGACCTTAAACCTCAAGAAGGATACCAGTATTAGGCTACAGAGCTGCTGATATTCGGATAGAACACAATACGATAGATTCATTTTCCAATTTTCCTTGGTATGGTTATGCTGAGTTTTTATTAAAAGAAATCCCACAGAAGATAACTTTATCCCTGCAGAATCCATGTTCAAGCAGTCCTTGTCTTCATAAAGCAGCCTGCTTAAATGGGTTTACAGATAAGAGATACATTTGGTTGTGTCAAATTGGTTTCAAGGGAAAACAATGTGGGAAAAAAGGTGACCAGAAGCTGAGAACTTCTCTAAATAAATATCAGGTTTACCTTCATGTTTGTGTGTTATCTTCTCCTATGAATCTTGTACTTTGACACATCTCGACATCCGCTTCATTTTTATCATTATTATTACAACTGTTATTGTTTTATTTTTTGCTTTTTCCCACCTCCAATATTCGTGGTTGGTTTCCGTTGTAAAGTGGATTGATTAAAATGTTATTTGAAGGCTAAGAGCCTGTTTACATGGAGATAGGGGACCCCAGATAGTGAGGTAATCCACCTGGCAGTGGTCGAAAAATAAACGCGCTTTCATACAATCTTTCAACTCCGGTGAGGTTTCTTGAGGTTGTTGTGGCGCTTGTAATTAGGGAGTTTCAGCATAGCCGTCCCAAGCTTACGTCTCGAGAAAGACGAAAGATTAATTCTCGTACACGTATGTATTTATTGATGAAAGTGTCACGTGTTGTGTTACGCGGTGTTGGGTTACGTGTGTCGACTTAATACGTAATAAGAAATTGTTTGGGAAGCGAAATATGGTCGATATACGACGCTAAATATTCCGAAATGTGAACATTTTACACTCCTCGTGTGTCTGTTGCAGTTTCTAGCGATTTCTGGCATGACAAGGCTAGGAAATGTATAAATTCCTACTCTAATGATTATCTGGGACCCATGTAGTAAGACATGCGGTGGTTCTGGTGGCCAAAAGCGCATGCGTGTGTGTGCAAGGCTACTGCCGATCAACTCTACCACTTGTGACAGTGTGTGCCCTGGTTAAAACCTTGAAACAAGAGCTATAAATTGAAGATTTGTCAACAATCCTGTTAATTTGGAACGATTTTCTTTTCTGTTGAGTACAATTGACTTGGTTGTTTAAAAGGCAGTACTCCCCGCGCTCTCTCGTTGATACTTAAAAGCATCCGGGGTAACATCGATTGGAATGATATGACGAAAATCATTCGAGCATGCGCAGAGATCGCCAAGGAGCGTGGCCATCCCGTGTTTGGAATCAAGTTTTACGGAGAATGTTGGAGTGGACTGGACACCGAAAACACGCACAATAACTACGGACCTTCAGAAGACTGTTGGAAGGGAGTGGGAAAGATAGGAACCTATTATGTGTACAAAATGTGAGTAAAAGTTCCAGTTTTTTTCGAAATTCAGGGGTTCGATAATTGACATAATAATCCTGAGGAGTAAGTTGTGACACATTATAGAGTTAAATACTCCTAAATTACGAACAACACTGCGTTATCGTTTTATATTCCCTTCAAATGAAAACTCGCGGTTATGAAATATCCCTGAAAACAAGCAACTTGTGGGGCATCCTAATATTTTCACTCTCTCCATAGTCACTGGCCATAGTCTCCCTGTAGTCACTAGTTACAGTCTCCCCGTAATCAGAAGTCATAGTCTCTCAATAGTCACCAGTCACAATCTCTCCGTAGTCACTGGTCAGATTCTCCCAGTAGTCACTAGTCAGTCTCCCAGTAGTCACTAGTCATAGTCTCCCTGTAGTCACTAGTCATAATCTTCCCATAGTCAAAGCCATCGTCTCACCATGGTGATTAATTAAAAGTCTTCCCATGGTCAAAATTCATAGTCTCTCGATAGTCACCGGTCATAGTCTCCCCTTAGACACTAGTCACAGTCTCCACGTATTTACTGATTATAGTCTCCACGCAGTCACTAGTGACAGTCTTCACGTAGATACTATTCATAGTCTTTCCATAGTCATTAGTCATAGTCTCCCCGTAGTCACTAGTCATAGTCCCTCCATAGTCACTAGTCATAGTCTCCACGTAGATACTGTTCATAGTCTCTCCAGAGTCACTAGTCATAGTCTCCACGTAGATACTTTTCATAGTCTCTCCATAGTCACTAGTCACAGTCTCCACATAGATACTGCTCATAGTCTCTTCAGAGTCACTAGTCATAGTCTCTCCATAGTCACTAGTCATGGTCTCTCTTTAGTCACTAGTCATAGTCTCCCTGTAGTCACTGGTCATGGTTTCTACCTGTAGTCACTAGTCATAGTCTCTCCCTGTAGTCACTAGTCATAGTCTCCCTGTAGTCATAGTCTCTCCCTGTAGTCACTACTCATAGTCTCTTTAGAATCGATAGTCAAAGTCTCCCCGTAGTCAAAAGTCAGTCTCTCTGCAGTCTTTCCATAGTCACTCCCAAACTGACTGCTAACAAAGATAATTTGGTTTCATCAACGCAATTGATAATGTAAATTTGCCATAGTAAAGAGTTTCTAAGATGTTTAGGGCGAAACCGTGGATGACATGACTGCTTACATACTCTCACGCCGATATTAGATCGAGAATCTATAACCATATGCAAGTATGTTTTAAAAACAGTCAAGGGGTAAAAGCTAACTACACATGAAGGAATGTTCAAATCTTTTGGAACGATCCGAGTCGATTTTTCCCAGAGATTGCTAACCACACCAGAATCTCCAGAGAATCTCCCGAGAAGATTTTCCGAAAGCTCTCAAAAAACCTACCATCATGCCATAGGCAACTGCTGTCTAAATACTTCTACCAATTTATTTGCTTCATTTGTGACAATCCCTAACATTTGTTCTTATATGAAGCCTCATAATTGTCTTTGTTTTTCCCCGATCTAAATATACAATTAAAGAGTACATTGCAATAATTCATTCTGTTTTATCTGAACGAGTAAAAGTATGATTTTATTTGTGTAAAAATTACAAGACAGAACAACCCTAAACATAATTGACACTTTCAAATGTATTTCCTTCTCATTTGCCAACTATTCAATTCTTGTTTTTCTTTCTTTCGTAAAACAGGTATGATGGTGAATACTTGGCGATATTATAAACTTTTCTAGATCTTAAACAAATAATTTGTCAGTTTTTTTATGACGTATTCAACATCTTTTGAATAATTGCAGTGTAAAGTAATAAAAATATCAAAATATCAAACCATTACTAAATCTCAAATTACATCAATTTTTTGGCCATAGTCATTACAAGTTTTGTATACAAGTTGAACAACCTTATGACTAAAGAGCACACGATACCTTCGATTGCTTTTTACAGCAAAAAAAACAAGAAAAACGTCCTCTTTTACTTAAACCCTGCAGAAAACACGATATATTGATTACCTACAGGTGTGTGAACTGTCATTGCACAAGCAAACTTTGCTAAAGTAAATGTAGCAGCAGCTTACTTTATTCCCTCCTCTTGTCAGCCAAATTCCTTAGGGACAGGTTTCCAAATTTGATTGCTAAACTTTCCTTTAGTTCTCGCAGAAAAACCGAAAACGAAGTAATCGCAACAGCCAATCAAAACGAAGGAAAATATCAAGAGGCGTCAAAAAAGACTGGTTAAAAACAACCCAACTTCCTTAGGCGCAAGAAAACGTGAGTTATAAAGTCGAGATTGGTTTCAGATTTGTCTGTGACTTATCCACTGTTAAGAAGGGGCAAGTATTGAAGACTTATCACCGAACACTGCTGTTATTGGTCGATGTAAACGCGAACCAAACGCGAAATGTCTAGTCCTATTGATCTAACTGAAATATTAACAAGAGTCGCTTCAAGCCTCTACGCTCGGCCGGTGCCCTGATGACGAGCTCGGTGACTGCGTTTCTTGGGCCTAGTGCGAGTTCTGAAGACACTTGTGAATTCGTTCCTCCATTGGGAATCCCATGAGGTCTTTAGCGTAATTATTACGCGCACCATAAGGCAG